ACCAAGCATGACCCAAATTTTAAACATCATAAACATTTTTTCTTGCTTTGTTGGAAATAAATCCCACATCTCCTGTGGACAATGTCTTGGGCAAGTTTATAAACAATGTGGTAAACCTCTCTTGTTGAACCAGTTTTGTGAGATGAGTTAGGCCCATAAATTTCTATATGGTATTAGAGCCTACCACAAAATTGATGTGGGTCCACACTACTTACCCCGTGACAAGGACCAGAAAAATTACTGGCCTGCACGTGAGGAAGTGTGTTTGAAATAAATCTCACATCGCCTGTGGACTATGTCTTGGGCCAATTAATAAATAATGTGGCAAACCTCTCTTACTGAATCGATTTTGTGAGATGAGTTAGGCCCATAAATTTCTACAGAGTGGATGGGCTATTTGGATTGGTGCTTGGATTCTTCTTGTGGTTTGTACAGTTGTGCCTTGAGCTCGAGGAGTGAGGAGGGCTCGACGCCATCGATTGCCTGATGCTTTTAGGGCATAATAGAGGATTCCGTTATCCATCCCAATAACTCCACCATCACCCTTTTCTTCGAATGTTCCCCTTCTTTCTCCATTCCCTCTCTTTCTCTAGGGTTCGTAGCAGATTGATTGTGGAGCTTCTGTTTGAAATATGAGGTTTTTGGGGACATTCCTGCAGTTGAGTGATTTTTTTAGAGAAGGGCAAAAGGCAAATATTTGAGAATATCGTCCTAACTAGGGGGTGGGGCAAAACTTACTTCAACTATTGGATGGTCTAGTTGAGTTCTGATATCAAGATCGAAAATTGATCAGTTTCAATTTAGTTATGGTTCTAAGGATATAATCGACTCATTAGTAGATGATCGTAAGTTAGTCATTGAGTGTATTGAATTCACGATTTCCTTCAAAGGATCGAGAACTTTTGGAATGCAAGGATGTGTTTCTTCTAGAAATTCCCCCAGGCTTGGCTATCACAACATTGAGGATTTGACTCTTCCACACAAGGAAGTTGTTTTGTCTGAGATTCAAAAGAGGTTGATGGAGGGTTGGTAGGGTTTATAGTGCCATGGGCTGTGATTATATGGTTTGGGACTTAAATTGACCAAATATAGTTTTTATCTACACATATCGTATGCTCTTTATTAAAAAAGATTGCATTTGTTGTAAAAAATATATAGTCAAGGTCTCATCTCATACTTATAGGAATTAGGATGGCCTACAAACAAACAAATCATTGACCGCAATTCTAATTTACCCTATTTCGCTGTTTGCCGAACATCTCCAAATATGGTATGTTGTAAGCTAATCTTAAATTCATTTCATAACTGATAATGTCTTGTGGAGAAATTAGATGGATCTTAGTTCAATGTTACACAGGTATATCGAAGGACGAAGTTATATCCCAAGACAAGATGAGAAACATTTGAAAAAATGATTAACAACCTAAACTACAATATTTGAAGGGGATTTTGCATAGATATCCCTACATTGTCAATTGCAAAATAAATAAATAAATAGTCACTTTTTAAAAAAGTGCTCAAAAATGTCTTTTATTGGGTGCGAAATGTCTAAATTACCCTTGATTTCATACATTTATTACATATTAATGCTAATTAATGACATAATTTGATATTTTTATCTTATAACTTGCTAGTTTGAAATTGTTAAATGCAACATGCTCCTATTAATCGCCACTTGCGCGCATAATATTAAAGTCTGATATATGAATTGTGTCAAATGCTTATCATTGATATCTTAAATTTTCAGGTTTGAGTAATAATCTGAAATTCATCGTTTCGCATGGGGCCGGGATGGGCACAATTAGGCCACATGTTCGAACCACGTTTCAACACCAACCACATGTTCAAAGTTGATTGATTTAACATGTAATGAATTTCGTACAACGCATAGTGAAGTAACTCAAACACATTTTCATTTTATTATAACTATCGAGTAATCCATTCAAACTATTGACAAATCCAATAACCAACTGTCGAGAATTACTGATTTTCTTGACAAATGTTCTGTCTGTACTTTAAAGAAACTCCCCAAGTGCAAACATGAATCAGATTTTTTAATCCACAATGACCGTAGGATGAACCACATTGCAACAAATTGAATCAACCATATAATGAACCACATTACCTAAGCTATGAATCAACAAATTGAACCACATTACAATACAAACAATGCACAGGTGCAAGACCTGCAATGAAAAGGATAAGCAGCAGGCCAATTCTCAATCTGTTTCCAAGAATTAGTTCTTAAGCTAAAAATCTTCAATTTGGCAGAGTAACCAAAAGCATCATCCATAAAACCAAAAGTTTCCACCACTTTGTAATCATCATTTAATTCATCATAACCGAACCCATAAATCACACTGTTAGAATAGGTTTGACATTCAGAACCAGAATTGCAAGATCAAATCATCCTGAATTCTGTACTTGAATAACTATCACTAGCAGCATTTATAGAATTCTCGCAGTGCATAAAAGAATCAAGATCTTTAGAACGGAGAAAAACACCATCTCCATTGACGCAACCAAAAACAAGTCTATCATGGTCACCTTTTCTCTTAAGATGGTGTTTGGCAAACTGAGGACTTGATATCAAAGAGAGCCATCGTTTGCATATACACCTGAATCTGACGAGAGATTTGACAGGCAGTCTTAGAAGTACCTCAATTCTGATTTCTTGCGGAAGAATTCGAAGAAATGTGCCCTCTTCCGTTGCCAAAAGACAGCTGGGGAGTGTGGAATGCAAGACGAAGTCACGGTAGACAAAACCCTACTAATTCCCCGTCGTGGTTTCCATTAGAAGATATGGAACTTGGGTTCGTATGAGTGGGGTTCATGTAAACTTGATCCAACTCCAATCACCAACTTTGTGGCTCTCCCAAAATAGTGAAATGCAAGAGGGCAAGGTGGAACTTTAAGAGGATATGTAATTCACGTGTTAATTCTAGAGATGGTAACAGGGCAAGTGGGGGTCGAGGAGTCATTTATGTCCTCCATTTCCTCATATATTTTTGTTATTTTGTCTCGTTTCTCATACTTGATTAAAGCGAGAGCGGGATGGGCCTGCCCCATTAATTTACTATTTATTTTTTTCATATTTTTAGTTAATGAAAATCATTAATTTTAAAAAAAAATTGTTAAGAACAACTTATATTTCCTTTAGAAAAGATAATTTTTTTCTTTTCATTCGATAAAAAACTTAAATTTAAGATGGACTTTAAACAAGACGGTAGCAGGATGAAGATCATGTTCCCCGTACCCATCCCATCCCGAATGTGGAATTCACTTGTATTTCTAGAGATGGTAACGGGGCAAGTCGGGGTCGATAGCCATTTCCGTCTCCCAATTCCTCAGATATTTTTGTTACCTTGCTTCGCCACTCATTCTCAATTAAGGCGGGGGCGAGACGGCCCATGCCCGTAGTCTGACCTGTTTATTTATTTATTGCTTTTATTTTTTATTTTTCATGTTTTTAGTTAGTGAAAATCATTATTTTTTTTTTTTTAATTTGTTAAGAATAACTCATATTCCCTTTAGAAAGGATACTTCATTCTTTTTTGTTCGATAAAAAACTTAAATTTGAAATGGACTTTAAAAAAGATAGATAGCGAGACGAGGATCATGTTCCCCGTACCCCACCCCAACCTCATTTATCCTATTAGGCGGGTAATCCACATCTCGTTCGAGATGGGGCAATGGGGATATGGGGTTTAACGAATTTTTTTTTTTTATCATTCCTAGTTAATTCAATTATTTAGTGTCAAATACTAAGTAAGAGTTAAATTTATCTCTTTAATAGATATTTTGTATGTTAGTTAAGAACATTTATTCATACTAGTTAGAGTCGAACATGCGTTGCACATTATTTTGAAATGTTTTATAAATATTGTGAAAATAATATTTGATCATCCATTTACCTTTTATTCTAAATATGAAATAAATGCAATATCCTGAAAATACATATCAATTATTATACATGCACATAAATAATGAAATGCATACATGAATGTGAGTATTAGAATTACAATTAAATGCGAAAATGAATATGAATGACAAATACAATACATAAATTAACATGAATCTTAATTAATTTAGAATTAATACCAAGAAATATATATATATGACAATAAATGTCAAATCATTTATATTAAATGAATATAATTTAATTTTCTATTAAGTGAAACTCAATGCTAATTGGTATATATGGACTTGAATAATGAACTGCATTCTTAAAATGTGAAATTCTAATAAATATTAATTAAATGGGTGTGAATGTTAATTAATTGAGAATTAATTATATTATTTATTACGGTTTGTAAATTAAATACATATTGAAAAAATAAAAGTAAAATATTATTGAAATAATTGAATTATAGTAGAGCTATAATCCTTCAAAAAATGTTCTCACTTGATCTGATATTTAATATATTATAGATAGTTGTACATATTAATTCAATTGTTAGTGTCAAATAGTTAGTAGTCAACTTTATTTCTCTAGTGAATGAGTTAGTTGGATAAGAACATTTACTTGTTTCAGAAGCTAACTAGGGTGCTATATGTAGCCAGAGACGGATGTAGCCGCTTGAGTGAGTTAGGGCAGAGGGTCAAGCAGCTATTGAGCGATCGTCCAATATAGCAAAATTGTTTATTAATATTTAATTAATTTATATTAAAAGAATCTTCAATCAATATGTAAATGCACTAGAATATAAAATTATATACATATGAAAATATAATTCAATACAACCCAAAATAATAAGGAATAAAAGTACATTTTTTGAATCATCTAAAAGTTTAGTCTCTAAACGAGGCCGAAATAAACAAATTCGTTCAACTTTAGAGCACTTCTCAAGTCACTAGCTCAAATTCATTCAGCTATCTCAACCTAACATTCATTCAAGGCAAAGATAAAGTACATGGATCAAAAAATATAGTCAGAGTAATTAAACTACTTGTGATGGCAGCTTCAGCTTATAATGGCAATAATCATTTGACCTCCCCATCTAAACAACCATCTTAGCCTCTTCGATCCTTGAATCCTTCGTCAACCCATCCACCACATTCTGCAATAATCTTGCATCAACCAGACGCTTCCTCTCAAAAACCTCTTTACAAAGCTCAAAAACCCAATCATAATTACTCGTCTAATGCAGACGAAAGAATCACCCTCAACAATGCCCTATCCGGGACACACTCGCTTCTGACCAACTCGCAATACCATTTCTTCACCGGTTTCAAATCTTCCACATCACAATACCCTCTAATGAGTATTGGGTAGCTAAAAAATCAGGTATCCCACTTTTCCCCATTTCACAAATCAACTCAACAACTTTATTAAACTTCTTCTCATTAACCAATCCCACAAGCCTCACATTATAGCTCCTAACATTGGGTAAAAATTCACTTTCCACCATTCGTCTCAACATATTGTCACCATCATCAAACCTCTTATTTGAATATAACTTATCGAGAACTGAATTAAAAGTAACCAAATCGAGCTTCACCCCACTTCTTTCCATCTCATCAACCATACCTAACTCTTTATCCCATCCCCCACCCCCCATCTCACACAGCCTTTTGATCACAATATTATATGAAACGACATCAGGCCTCAATTTCCACTTCATCTCCATTTCTCGAAAAATACCCTCAATCTCCTCAAGTTTCCCCAAATTCACACAAGCTGACAAAAGGGCATTCCAACTCTTCACACTCCTTTCACAATTCCATTCAGACATTTCATTGAACACTTTTTTCGCATTCTCAAACATGCCTGATTGTCCATACAATTTGGTAAGCCTGATAGAGAAAGTTCTCCTTGGAAATATCATGTCTGAGTTGCTTTTGATGTTTGAGAATTTCTTCAATCTATTTGAAGCGTTTGACGGAAGCCAAGCGGCAAACCATGGACTCATAAATGACATTCTTAGTGCGGAAATGGTCAGAAGATGAATAGACCTTGAATTTTTGGACGATTTTCTTCAGGTTTTGCTCCTTGTAATGGTCCTCGAAAAGGCTCGCCTCGTAGTGGCTGTCGGTTCGGTCGCCTTCTTCCTTCCACTATTCCGAAGAATCCGAACATGCACGGCAGCGCCCCTCGTCAGGTGGTAGGTCTGCCACTGTATGCAGTGAGCACCTTAGCTACCGGACATCACATTAGTTTTTTTCTTTTTTAATTATTCCAATCTCATTTATAACCGTTATTTCATTTATTAAAAAAAATTAAAATCTTGTTTTATCTATCCACATCTACATATATTAAAAATGGGAATTGGAAAAAAACTTTTGAATACCACTTTTACCCTTACATATTTACCTATATGTCCTATATACCCTCATGGTTTACAAAAAGAAAATAAAAAATAAAAAATTGAAAGGTTGAATTAATATGTTACATTTATTATTTACCCTTTATTAAAAGTTGCCAAATGATTCGATTTATTACCTCTAAATAAGATAATTAATAATTATTACTGCTTTCAAAAATTAAGGAGCTTGTTTGATCCCCATTATTTTCAAAATATATTTTTTTTATCTTCTTTTCAACCACACATTTTTGAATAAAATAATATTAAACGTAAACCAAAAACTTTTTCGCATTTTCTAACAACACATTATCCATCAATTTACTATTAAAAATACATTTTTTTTGTCAAATAATGGGGCTCAAACAAGGTTTAATTTCCTCTAAACACAATTAGAGGTTTAATTTCCTTGAAACACAATTAGTTCTAATCATTATTATACAATTATGTATAATTCACCACGAAATACCAAATGTTTCAATCTATTTCCTCCAAATAAGATAATTAATAATTGTTATTGCTTTAAAAATTAATTCAATTAATTTCAACTAAACACCATTATTACTAATTATTAGTACCCAATTAATAAAAAAATTATTAAATACAATTAAAAGAAATTGTAATATTACTACATATATAATTCACCATAGAATACCAAATGATTCAATTTATTTCCTCTAAATAAGATAATTAATAATTAATATTGATTTAAAAAATTAAGTCAATTAATTTTCACTAAACACAAGTATTACTAATTATTAGTACACAATTAATAAAAATATTATCAAATAAAATTAAAAGAAATTATAATAACACTACATATATAATTAACTTGAACTTGCATATTTTATTACATCCACTAATATCAATAAATAAAATTTATTTAAAAAATATTAATTATAGAGTTAAATTTTTTCAAACCTAAATTATATATTAAAAATAATATTAGACAATCTATTTGTACAATACTTGATCAAAATTAGTAATGGAATAGGACTTTATAGCATGTGACGATGCTGAAACTTCAGAGTACATTTAATCAATGCAGTCTCCCAAATTTCATGAAAAATGCATCTTCTTCTTATTATATGACACAACATGAAATTCATTCACCCAAAAATGAGTATGTTGACTACCTCAATGATAAACTAATTAGGTTATTTTTTGAAGAAAGTAAAGAATTTGTTGGCTTTGACAAAACAATAGATGATACAAATCAATTTATTTAGAGGAGTTCCTAAATACATTGTTGTCAAATGGTATCTTGCCACATAAGTTAATTTTGAAATGAAATTTTGCAGTGATGCTCTCGAGGAATTTGGACCAATCCAAAATGGTCTTTGCAATAAAATAAAAACGATTTGTCATAATTTCAAGAAACTTATTATCAATGCAAAAAATAATCGTTGGACAACCATGTTGGAAAACAAGTTTTCCTTCCACACATTTTTCCTTCCACACGTCTCATTAACTCCGGCAAATGATGAAGGATATCCATTCAAATTCAAAATGAGACAATTTTCAATACGTCTATGTTTTTCAATGACTATTAACAAAGCTCAAGAACAAACAGTGCATACTGTTGAAATATACCTTCGTGAACATATATTCTCCCATGGGCAACTATATGTCGCACTTTCTCGCGAAATTTCTATACAAGCAATAAAAGTCTTCGTAAAAGCAAAAAATAAAAAGAAGAAATGATGTGGGACGTTGACAAGAAATATTGTGTATAAAGAAGCGTTATTGTAATCATAACATTACATTTAAATTTATTCAATAATTTCACATTATATACATAATTTCATAATATATCTAAAACATTACACATATCATTCATCCGATACATAAAACATGCAACACGTGCTTACTTCTCGTTCAAGAAAATGACTATTGCAGGATCATTTAAGGATTAATAGCAGAAAATGTCCCTAGAAATATTTCCATGTGCAATATACCCATACCTATTGGAAATCTCAGAAAACTCTCTATTTTAAAAATTTTGTGCAACCCCTA